ATTGATCCATAAATTCACTGTACTGGTTAGATTTATTTTTGTTCGCAAAGCATAAAGTCTGATTTTTAGAGTAAAAAACCAGATAATGTTTATTTTTATAAGTTGTATTTTGTATGTTTATTTTTCATTAAAAAAGACATGATACATGTAATTTTTACATATTAAATTTGACTAGTTTGACAAATATTAAGATATTTGTCAAACTAGTCAAATTTAATATGAATTATAGTAGTTTATGAAATAGTATAAATTTAACACTTGTTTTGGTTAATTTTTTTAATAAAAACACCTGACAACTATTCTTTTACTAAAATGTGACATGTTCATAATGTGACAACTTGCATGATTCTCTGTTTAAAAATGTCTCTGAAATGAAAATTCCAATTATTGTCTTTGAAAGAAAAAATATTCATCTTTGTAGGAAATCTAACTGTACAAAGACAGCTTTTAGAAAACAAGAAATTTTCAGACACAATGAACAATACTCTCAAAAAAACAAAATTCAAAATTGTCTATTTCAAACATAAGGGGAAAAAAGATAAAAGACTGCATAATTGAACACTTTAAGTTGTTGAAGAAGTTCTTATCTTGTTAACATGTGCAAGATCTGAAAACAGAATGTGATAGAACATAACAAAAAGAAAGATATGGTAGTTATAAAAGAATATAAATATAGAAAGTTTGAAGCCAGTAAGAGATGGATTGAATATTTCAAAGATGGGTCTCTCCTTTAAAAAGTAAGTGGAGAAAAAGGAGCAGCTAATAGTAATACAATGGAAGACTGAAATGAAACAACACTAAAAGATATCTTGACTCAGTAATCAGAATGCAATGCATTTAACTTGGATGAAACAGATCTACGTTGTTTTTTACTTAATAAAAACCATAAAATTTAAAAATGAAAAATGCATAACAGGGAAGTTGAGTAAGCATGGTTTAATAACTTTGCTTGATGCAAACACAAATAGCACAAAAGAATTTAAATTGCTAATGATTGGTAAAAGTAAAACACCAAGATGTTTCAAAAAATGTCTGGTTGCTACTAGCTACATACAAAGCAAATTTTCAAATTCATGAATGTCTTTCAACACTGAAAATAACATATTTGTAATTTTTTATAAAGAAATCTTGTATCAGAATAGAAGTCATTTTTAAGTAAAAATAAATTTAAAAACTCACGCCAATATTTGTATAATTTATGGATACAAATTCACTGAGTTCAGCGTTAATAAAGTTCCTTTAGTATTAACACAAGCACTTTCGACAAGTGTATAATCATCGTCTTCAGGTGAAAAGAACAAATTTTAACAAGACAACGTGCAAGATGTTTCAAAGGAACAAAATATTTAAAATTCAAATAGGCATCCGGAAATTCTGTTAAGAACGTGCAGATAATTTTTGATATGTTCGAAACTTTATATTTTACGATGCTAGCGGCGCATGCGTGGAAATGCTACCGTGTTGGCGATACGATGTTAGGCGCGTTTCGTTTTTTAGGCACCGATATAAGGCAATCCACACCCTGGGTAGATCGAGGGTGGGTGTTAATACTAAAGGAACTTTATTAACGCTGAACTCAGTGAATTTGTATCCATAAGTTATACAAACATTGGCGTGAGTTTTTAAATTTATTTTTACTTAATGATGTCATGTTTTTTAATCTTTTGATTTTAAATTTTAAATGTGAGGAGTAATAGTAATAATAATGCTAATGATGGGGTAAAATAATAAAATAATTTTGTTACACATGAAAAAAAGTTAAAATTGTAAATTGTTAAAACCTACATCAGGGAAGCTGAATGCTTAGCATCTTATTCACTAGCTATTTCTGTTACAAGAAGAAACCAAACTTCCAAAGTCTTATAACTAAACTCTCAATTTTCAGAGGTCTGTTTTTCAGAAACACTTGAGAAATAGGACCTATTATTTGGATGAGGAGCTGTTGTGTTAGGGCTACATGCTCACCGAGATTTGTTCAAGTCAGAGACTTGAATGTCTGTCCTCTCCTTGAAAGTGACTTTTTTAACAAATGAATTTAATTTGATATTGTGTATAAAAGGAAGGCATATTGATGAGCTATGAAGAGCAAATTATATAGTACTAATACTAAAACAATCAATGGTTATAAATATATATATATATATGTATATATGTATTTTTTACAAACAAAATTGGGCTTAATAAATAGGAAAACGGATCCTTTGAATGTATGGAATTTTGAGTGTATGTCTGCCAATTGACATTCAAAATAACATAAGAGTTCAGGAAGTGTTTCTCTTGGTTAATCAGACAAAACGAATTGAGTCAACGTCCCATGACAACCAATATTATCTCTACCTTTTCTACACTGTTTTTAAATATAAAATTTTTGTTAAAATAATAAATTAATTCCACAATTTTTAAATAAATATCTATCTTCTTAACGTATCTATCCGTCGAAATGCGGATTTTAATAGTGTTTTTTTCACGTAAAAAACGATAAAAAATAGCTTGNATATATAAATACAAAAGCACTTAACGTTATTTTATTACTGAAAATATAGGTTAATACATTAAGGATGTTGATGCTCTTCATCTTCCATTTACCATTGGATAAATACCGATCACTATAGTTAAATGTTTAGTCTGATATATTAAACCATTAAATACATAATTAACTGTAAAAATATTTAATATTTAATTATATTTAAACACTATTTTAATATAAACGTGCTTAGAAATAAAATTAACTAGATTTAGAAATGACGTCAGAGATAAAACGAGATTGAAATAAATCCAATCACCTCATTCCTTTTGAAGTTTTAAATCATAAATAAAATAAAATTCTTCTAGAATAATGTTGCCAAGAAACAAATTTGATGGCAGAAAAATACGAAAATCTTATTTTCTATTCTGATTTTTTCCATTCAAACAAAAATAAATCAAAGAAAGGGAGGCTTATTTAAAGCAACATTCCTCTCTATAATTTATAAATGTATATATATATGTAATATTTATTATTAGACTTCTTTAACCTGTTTAAATATTTAGAAGTCTCTTAAAAAGTAAAATTTGTTTTATTTAAATATAAAAAGACGAAAGAATTTTTCAAAGAAAGTATTAAATTAGATTAAGATGGAGATGCTAAATAGGAAAAAAAAAAAGCTGGAAGAAGAGTAAAAAATAAAATTAAAAAATAAAACAAAGAGCCAAAATAAATAAACTCTGAGATCTAATTAAATACATTTTATCTATAATTAAATTCCACATAATAATAATAATAATAATAATAATAAAATAAAGATAAAAATTGCTTAATGGTATCAATAAATTAACTTTAATTGAATTTAAATATAATTATTATAGTAAAGATTATAATTTATAAAGGTAATTAAAAGTCAAAGAATTATTAATGTTGTTTACGAGAAAATTGGAATAAATAAGAATAACAAAAGAGGAGGAGAATTTTATTCTCTTACCATTTCGATCAATGATCTAATTTCTCACTAAACAATCGATACAAGTTGACATACTTTCTTTCAAACTCGTAAGTGTGTCAGTCGAAAATGTTTCAGGTTAAAAGGTCCCGCTTACCGAGATTTTCTCTGTTTCTACCAAGTTTTTTTTATTGGTTGCGACGTACACACGTATTAACTATTTACGTCATTTGGGAGCACGAATGCATATTAACGATACGAGTAGCCGCAACTTGTAACGCTCGACTGACAATAGGCGTTGTTAAAGCGTTTCCCTTCTCGGAATAATTAACGTCGATAGAATAAAAACGTAACCGAGTGACCAAAAACGCTCCGGAAGCTATTTATAGGAAGAAAGCGAACGTGTGACGACCCGCCCGTTTCTAAAAATAGCATTGTTAGTCGGACACTGCCCCACTGAAAACACAAGACGGGTCGATAAGAGATTTCTGCCATTCGCGGAAGGTCCTACTCTGTACGTATCGACCTATCAGTCACCTATGTGTGGGTGTATCCGGCGCGCGCAAGATACCATCCCGCTATATAAACACTGTCCGCATTGCTGGCTTGTATATCGCTTGTACAATTCCAAGAGACTACGTAGACAGACGTAATACTTCTTCCAGACATATGTGAGTATGTTTTTTCTATTATTCTTTCTAAACTTTCTAACCGATTCACGATTTACAAAATCCTGGCATAAGGAAGCTCACAGAAGTCATTGACACCTGTCGATTTCATTATATTTCCGCTATATTTTCTTAATAAATGGTATATAATCGTCATAACTCATCGTCTCTGTCTCTTATAACTCTTACCTAAACTCGTCGATATTTTTCCTTCGAATAATACCATTATTAATTAATAATACATTTATAACTATAACGCACTTAACTACGTTATAATCATTTAAATAACGGCGAATTATATCGATTTAATTCGATAGAATGTGTTTATGTAGAATATTTTCTTTTTCCTTTTAAGTCATTCGAGGTAAACAACCCCTGTACAGCTTGTTTCACCGTCTTAACAAGAGCCGTGCAGGGAAAACGGATTATAGGCATACTGTTACTAAAATCGGTTTATTTTGATATTTATACCTCAACCATATTATCTGAAACCTTACAGAAGGATTATGTAATGTATTTAGCTGATAAAAATAATTTTAAACAGTACTAATGACTTGTTTATTCTTTTATATTCGATAAACAAGCGATTTAACTTTCAGGCCATTGACTTTTCATCTACCTAACAGTTATTTTGATGACTACGATTACATTGTTAATACCTGCCATCTAGTGATAAAATAAAACGTTATTTTAATAAAAATAAAGCCGGCTTTTTTCTTGTTTTTAATGTGCAAATACATTTAAATATCATTAACGTGTTATTTATGATCTTTCAGCTGTAGAAATGGACATCAGAATCATCGAGTTTATAGTATTCTTCGTGATGACGACAAGATGTTACTGTCAACTACAGTATCCAGTCATACCTCAGTATCTTTTACCAGTCGGTTATATTGACGAAGAACCAGAGACTTATCCACGAAGACGTTACGTTTCCATCTACGACACCCCAAAATATGTTCAGAGATGGAAAGATAGTTCCGTTAACGACTACGTTTATCAAGATTACAATGAAGATGACTATAATACCGAAGAGGAAGACGAAACAAATTTATTAATAAAATACTTAAATGCCCATAAAAGATTTCGTGGACCAATTCAAATGAATCAAAGAGTAGAAAAGGTTGATTTTAACAGTATTACAACCGAAATACCCTCTCCTAGTACTCCAACAACAACAGAAGGGCAGAAAGAGATAGCTATGTTTAGAACTCAAGACGAGAGACGAATGAAACCAGCGTGGTTTCCATCTTTAGATAAACTTCCACGAGTTAAAGGAAGAGATCAGGTAATAATAATAATATCTTTATCGTTAAACATCTTTCACATTATCGATACTTAAAAAACAAATCTTTCTTTAACAGAAATCTCAATCGAATGGAGAAGATCTTACGCTTCAACTAGACAAACTGAAGAAGCCAAAAGATTAAAGAATCCCTAAAGACTTTATATATATATATACATACATATATATGACTGTTTTAATAGAGTTATGCAAAAACGATACGTGTATCAAGTGATCAGCTGACCCGATTATCCCCTCTGATTATCCTTAAAAGGGTTTAAACGGTAGCAATTCCGAAGCTCATTTACTATCCCATTCTTCAACCAAGCGCGAATTTTGTGGCACAGTCTATTTTCTTTTCTTTTCTTTTTAAAGAGGATATCTTTTCGGTATTCTTAAAAAACCAGACTTTTTCCAAGAAAAAAAGAACTGATAAAATTAGAATATATTAATTAATGTGATAAAAAATATATAAGTATATACATACATATATATATATATATATCTGTATACACACGCATAAATTAAACATATCTAAGCACATGTAGTCAAATTGATTAGAATTGAATACCTTTATAGACGTACTTTTTACAGTGAGAATGGATATATTGTGGTATATGTTACTGAATGTGACAATAAGATAAAAGCGATTTTTTGAGAGTAGAAAAATAAATATATATTCGCATACACACATACATATATTTTGTACGTGTGTTTTTAAAGAGTTGTCTATCCTATTGATGCACATTTAGCTGTCTGTATCCACCGATATGTGTTCAGAAGGATGGAACATAGTTGAATGTTTCTTTGTTGTTCTTTTTGTAAATAAGTGTGAGTGATGTAGAGGATATTTTGTATATTAAAATGTGTATAAATAAATAGATTTTTTGTCTGAAAATTTTTCACTTGTATATAAATTTAATAACCGATAGAGTAAAAGCGATAAGGACTTGAATAGAAAGTTAATTGAGATTTTTAATCTTAAAAAAAAAAAATAAAACTATTAATTTGTTAAAATATAATAATTATATAAATATATAAAATGAAATAATTGTTAACTTTTCTTAATTAAAAGATAATTCTTGACTATAATTATCAAGAATAAATTAAACATTACGTTGGTAAACATAATGAGAATTTTAGGCTAAAACTATTATGAATTTTATCCAATTAAATAAAATTTAATTAAATAAATATTTATTTAACTTTATAGAGATAATAAATATGAGTATTAAGTAAAGTAAAATTCAATAAAACTGAATTAAATGCATGCAAATGAGCTGCAGTTTATTTGACCTTGAAGGTAATTTATTTAAAGATTTCGAGTGGGCGCTCCGGCAAAGACGCCCACATTCATTGGGAAATGTAACTTATACGTACAATGAACATGTCAAACTAAAAAAAAAAATTAAGTTATAAAAATAAGAAATTAAATTTAAATTAAAAAAAACTGAACTTTCTAATAATTGGCCCCTGTAAATATCACTTTATTGCATAACTTATAAGGGAATACAATTAAAACTTTTAAAATATTTACCCGCAAGGAGACATTTTCTTAATTTTAAGCGATGACAACCGGGATTAAAGTATTTATCAGACAATAAGCAGAAACATTGATGAAAACATCTGCTGTAGACAACCTTAACTATCTTATTATAAGAGGCTCTTCTCTCTTATATCATATATATTGTAGGGAGGGATGATGTATAACGAGCTAAAACATCAATATCCTGTTGTTTATTTAAACAATCGAGAAAAGAATTAAATCGATAAATTTTAAAGACGAAAGTGAATTAAATATCATGAATTTCGGGTTAATTTCTACATATTTATTTTAGGAAACTTCTTCGATTTTTTTTCCATCCAAAAGTCTCTTGAATTGATGTAAACACATCCAAGAAGAAAGTGGGTCATCTATTGATGATATGTTTGATCTCTAGTTACTCCATAAATGGAAAGACCTAATAGCTATTTAAATTCTCCTCATTTTACTCCTTTTTTTTTTAATTATTATTATAAAGTATACGAATCTAATTACATTAATTAAAGCTATACGATAAGTTAATTTAACATTAAGTAGTTTTAAAATAAAAAAAGATTATTATTATTTTTTTATTTAAAGAATTTCATTTTTAAGCTTTAATTTCTTAGAAAATATCTTTAGTTTTTGTATTAAAAAATATATATATATATATATAATTATGAAAGATTCTGATCTTGATGCTATTTCCTAGAAGGAGAGGAGAAAAAATCACTATGTTAAGATAATTAGAAGAGAAATTGGTGAAATTCTCTTCGAATTTCTATCAAAATGACTCGTTTCCTGAAAAGAATGACTTATTTTCTCTGAAGCGAGAGGCAATTTTCCAGAAAATGGGACCTTAGTAATGACTAAAAATGTAAAAAAATGTTTAAAAATTAACGTTTAATTTACAATTAGAAGATCTTTTATGAAATTACTTCTTTCGAGTTAATGTTTATTGAGTAATTATTTTAATGAACATATTTTAATTAAATAACAGGACTTGTGTTAATATTAATGCTTACTTTATATATAAATTTTATATGTTTTTATATTCGTATAAGATAAAATAAATTATAAATTATATTTTTTTATTTTTTTTTAACCTTATTTTCTTCTTATATTATGTAATATCATTCAGAAACGAGGTTATAACGTTGTGTTCTGCTATACAAAACTCTTCGATGAGAAACGATCTGTATTTACTAGAAGTAGTAAAATTACTTCTAGTAAATGTAGAAACTTAGAAAATAAATTTTTCTACCATCCATATTGAATAAAATACTCTTCAAAATAGTAAAAAAATAGAATAAAATACTTATTAATAAAGCTTAGAAATGATTTTAATGAACGATAGAAGTCAAATTCTATCTAGAAGCCATAAAAATCAGGACATTTCTAGCATCGATAAATACATTCTAAATATATTTCCTAGCAATATTAATATAATAAATGAGTAAAATTATCCTTATTAATTATAATTATAATTATTAGAGATAATTTTACTTTTGTCAATTCTAATTATAATAATAAATTTAATAGACAAAGTAAAATTACAAAAGGGTGAATTTCTTCTTTTGAAAAATCGTTCAAAATTAAATAAAGTGCCATAAAACTTCTTTAAATGACCGTGAAATATAAATTCTTGATAGAAAGTTCCTATATAAATATAATAAAATCTTATCAGGAAGAAAATTTTGAAAGAAAAAAACAATGTTTTTATTGGAGACACCAATATTTTTTTTTAGGAGGAAATAAATAAAATTTTCCTTTTTCTAATGAAAAACAATGATAAAATAAATGTTTTTACAAATGTATAAATATAATAAATTGTTTTCCAATAACGATAAACATGTATTAAAAGAGTTTTAATCCATTTTGACAGGAATATAGATGCATTAGAAAGCTTTCTAACAATACAAATGCAATAAAATGCTTTAGAATAAGGACAAAATTGTAATGAAATGCTTTCTGACAGGCGTACACGTAGTAAAATGCTTTCAACTAGTACAAATGTAATGGAGAATCTTTTACTTTAACTCATATAGGATAGAACCTGATAAAATTTCTTCAACATCAATACATATTAAGTCACAAGTTTCTACATTTTTTTTNATGAGAAACGATCTGTATTTACTAGAAGTAGTAAAATTACTTCTAGTAAATGTAGAAACTTAGAAAATAAATTTTTCTACCATCCATATTGAATAAAATACTCTTCAAAATAGTAAAAAAATAGAATAAAATACTTATTAATAAAGCTTAGAAATGATTTTAATGAACGATAGAAGTCAAATTCTATCTAGAAGCCATAAAAATCAGGACATTTCTAGCATCGATAAATACATTCTAAATATATTTCCTAGCAATATTAATATAATAAATGAGTAAAATTATCCTTATTAATTATAATTATAATTATTAGAGATAATTTTACTTTTGTCAATTCTAATTATAATAATAAATTTAATAGACAAAGTAAAATTACAAAAGGGTGAATTTCTTCTTTTGAAAAATCGTTCAAAATTAAATAAAGTGCCATAAAACTTCTTTAAATGACCGTGAAATATAAATTCTTGATAGAAAGTTCCTATATAAATATAATAAAATCTTATCAGGAAGAAAATTTTGAAAGAAAAAAACAATGTTTTTATTGGAGACACCAATATTTTTTTTTAGGAGGAAATAAATAAAATTTTCCTTTTTCTAATGAAAAACAATGATAAAATAAATGTTTTTACAAATGTATAAATATAATAAATTGTTTTCCAATAACGATAAACATGTATTAAAAGAGTTTTAATCCATTTTGACAGGAATATAGATGCATTAGAAAGCTTTCTAACAATACAAATGCAATAAAATGCTTTAGAATAAGGACAAAATTGTAATGAAATGCTTTCTGACAGGCGTACACGTAGTAAAATGCTTTCAACTAGTACAAATGTAATGGAGAATCTTTTACTTTAACTCATATAGGATAGAACCTGATAAAATTTCTTCAACATCAATACATATTAAGTCACAAGTTTCTACATTTTTTTTTTTTTTGTATTAGAATTATTAATTTTTTTATTTATAAAATGTAATTTTTATCCTTTAAAAACCTTCTATAATGTTTAAAATATAGATATTTAGGAATAAAAATTATACAAAATGATTAATTCACTTATAAAAGAACACTGCAATTTTCCTATTCGATTATTTTAATAAGAATTGTATCGATTTTATTTATAAGTAATTCTTATATTACGCGGATTATATCGATTACATTTTAATAATATATATAAAAAATTATATTAAAAATATGAGAGATAATTTTAAGAAAATGCGCATCTAATACACTTCTCCATTCACATCATATACATCAAAAAGTGTGGGTGTAGAAGAGGTGTATCCTATAGAACTACAGCCTTGACCTTTTGTCTGCTATTTACCTATCTACCTGTGCAATGGTTTTTCTTTCCAAGTATTCTGGTTTAAGTCTCATCATTTCGAAGTTGACTGAACACCTAGCAAAATTAATAAAAAAAAATTAATAAAAATTTACTATAATATTCTCAAATTGATTTATAATATTATGATTTTAAAAGTTATTTGCAAAATACTGCTCTTTTTTGTATAGATATGGATCATAATTAATCTACAAATAAATAAACACACCTCTACCCCCCTAAACTTGTTCCATATATATAGAATCTGTAGAGCCGATATCTATTAAATTGTTTGTATATTCTTCTAAAGGATTCATTCAATAATGTTACCTAATAAAAGTGAAGGTAATTATATAATTAATAACGTAAAATTGGGATATAGATAATTGATAATACTGTGTCACTGACGATATAGATCAATGTATAGAGAATCTTCTTCATCTTCTAAGGCTGAATACTTATAAATCCTTGCAATAATCATCATTAGAATTAAAACAGAATAAGGAAACGTAACTTATTTTACTATTATATACAGGATAAGATAGAGGATAATTGTGTTCGTGAATAGAAAAGGAGATATCTACTCCACACTCTTCGAATTCGTCGGAGAAACTAAGAAAATTATCTTAAAATTAATTAAAATGTTAAAAAAAAGAATTGTTTTGTTTAAAAAGTGTATTGTATAACTTTTTGTATTTTAAATAATGAAACTAATCATCGAACATTTAATTATTTTCAAAGCCACCAGTTGATATTTGCTATTTCAGGAAGTACACATCCTGTAATCTATGGCGTATTGTACTTATGGGGGTGGTGATGTGGGTATTGTATCACCACCTCAGAGGCTTTAGAAATAAAATTTAAACTAAAATAATTGTAAAATACAGGAGAAACTTAAAATTAATAATAATACAGTTGAACCTATCTATTACAAACACGTTTATCTCGCAAATTTATCTCTGTTTCTTTACTTTTTCAGCTTAAATTCAATATATTTTCCACATTTATCTGGAATAATTTTCTCTCAAAACCTCTCTATCTTAAATTACTGGGCGAAGTGTCAATTACAAATTCAAAGCTCGCCGACTCCATTTTGATAACGTAAATTGTAGTCGATAAATATCTCTTGAAATACAGTACATAGTTGCAATTAACTTAGCTTTTCTTTTATTGGCTAAGAGTTTGGCTTACATCTTATTGGTTGAAAAAAAAAAGTCGAGTATCAGTAACTATTGACAGATATACCTAATACAGGTAGAATATGTACTGTATTATACAGTCGACCCCTCTATAATACTGTTGATTATTCCGTTTTATATGAATTCTATGTTGTACGAGTCACTTGGATTTTACAAATACGTGAGCCATTCACAGCCTGGCATACGTATTTGTAAAATCTAAGTGACTCGTACAACATGGAATTCATATAAAACGGAATAATCAACAGTGTTATGGGGGGTCGACTGTATAATATTAATAAAAATACATATTACTCTTTTCAATTTTTATCACCGGATGGTAATTAATTAATTTTAATTAGGTTTTAATTAAATTTTATAAAATCTTCCAATTTTATAACTTATATATTATGATATAATAGAAAAAAAAAGGGCTGAAAATATGCTGACGAATAAAACATGTCGAAACGCAGTTTAAAGTTATAAAACAGTTGCTACGTTCTTCTTCTCTCGGGATTAGAATCACGTGTAAACGCCATATAGCTGCTGGTATATTGCCTTATGAAAGGTCACTTACATTAATAAAATATAAGAGGATTTTTACAGGTTTTCGGTGTATAGTCTCAAGCTCAGTCCCTAAGCTCAAGATCGAGTATCTTACGCGAAGCAATGCCACGCATTCATAATGAATATGGTGGCAGTTTTATCCATCGTACCACATTTCAATTCCCTTTAAGCGCTAGCTTTAAACTTCCATCTTTCAGTACCCTTTTATTGGTACTTGTAATAGTCCAGAACCTTTCTGTGGTACCACAGAAAGGTTCTGGACCGGTTATAGGTGAGGATTCACTTTCCTTAGCAGTTTCTCATTTCTTTCTATCGCAAAACGTTCTAGCACCCACACCAAAGTAACTTTGTTGATATAAACCAGTTTATTAAGAAGAATTTTACAATTCTACACCGGTCTAGATTTCCCCCCGAGTGGAATTAATTGTCTTAATACCTCCTTGAATGTCAGAGAATATAAAGATCCTCTTGTTTACATAGACCTTCTCTATATTTTCTCTAAGGCAGCGTACAATAGAGTAAATTTCAGTCTGGAACACCAGTAAGGTGCACACCCATACTCTGTGAAATCTCATCCTATTATACCAGTTTCCGTCTGTAAACCAGAACAAATCTCTAATCTTTAGATCAACTACATCATTGTAATTACGTATTGAAAAACATATAATTAGTTATATTGTTATTACGTTTAAATTTAAAAGTAATAATTTATATTGTGCACGTTAGAGTCATCATTTCCGACGGATACGAGGTTCGGATCGGTTGTATCTCCTTGAGGAAATTGTCTCTTTGTTTGTCACTTTCTGCAATAAACAAGTCAAAATTTGTCGCCTAATAAAATATTTAATTAGATGATAAAGTACTTACCGACTCTAAACAATAGGTAATATCACCTGAGAAAGCAGAAAACACGTAGAATTTTGTACATAAGTTGGACTATCAAAGTGATAAAGAGCAAACTGTTATAAAAGAAGCCTTGGGACATCGGTTTTTTTTTATTAATCAGAGTCTACCGGGACTTTCTTCTCCCAAATGGCCATTTTCTCACCCTTTTACCTTCAGGTAAAGTGATAAAACTGAATACTTCACACCAACTTTCGTCGCTACCAATCTATAGAAATTAATCCAAAATGAATAAAATTTAAACGAAAGATGACAGAATTCTGTTTTAAAATAATATTCTTACAATATTTAGCATTTGGAGATAATCTTTTCTAAATAATTTTGCGATTTTTCGAATAATATATCAATTTGAAGCAAAGAATAACGACGAAACACATCATTCTTGAAGATGCGAGACATTTCTTCTACTTTTTGAATAAGAGAGTCGTTTGATCAAATCATTAAGTACTTCACTTTATTCAGCAGTATTTCGTGTGGACTTTTTAAAAAATTGTAAATTTAATGTCAAAAATATAAAAACTGGGAAAATAATCATATGATAGAAAAGGTAAAAAAAAAAATTGATATATTATTTCAATTAAAATTGCAAGTTTTCAACGGAACATGTATCCATCGTCTAAACTTACCAATTTAATCTTTGACGAAGTGAGAGAGTCAACGTGGGTGTAGATAGATTTTTCGAGACGAATTGATTTATGCTTCTGTCTCCACTCGCACAATCTCAAATCGTAAACTCCAGTTTAAAAATTTTTGACAGTTTAATATAATAAACGACAGTCAATCTTTTCCTGTATAATATATCTACAAGAGATTTACTTATACAGTACTAACAACTGTTATCGCTTAATCATCGTTTCACTCGCTCTTTCTCTTCTATCCTACGCTCTGATATATTTTTATTCATTTAAATAACATTCAATTATGATTTTCGTAGTGATTTTTTTCACGTAATTCAACGCCGGAGACTCTCGTCCATCGTCTAAGAAAATAAAACGTTGGAAAATATCCAAAAAATCGATTANAAAAAATTTTTTTAAAGTGCTGCCATCTATCGAGAGGTTTTGAATTCAAGTTGTAAATATGTATTAAAAATTTATTTAAATTACTTTGTAAAAGTTTAAATATAGAATTTAAATATATTGGATACACTCAAAGAGCTTAATAAACATAAAAATTTTAATTATAATCAAGTACATTATTTCTTATTTTATATTCATCTTTTATTTATTTGTATTAGAAATAAAGAAAATGTGAATATAAAATAAGAATTAAAAAAAAAAACAAAAAAAGTTTTAATATCAAGGGATTTTCTGCGGAATATTTGTAGATATTTGACATTTTAACTTACCTACACTACGTATACATAATTGACAAGCTGTAAACGTGGTCAATAACAGGAGAAATCGTATATGACACTTGGAGGAACGAAGAAAATTCAAAAATGTTCCTTTTAATTACTTTAAATTCAATTTTTAAATAGAAAGTTTACTAAAATTCTATACTATTATTCGTTAATTTCTGTCTTCTTAAGCGTAAATTTATTTTAAATTACATTAGATACAATCTAAAGTAAAACCTGTCGAAAACGGAACCTGTTTAAAACGGAAAAAGTATTCGATTTACACAGATTTTACATGAGTTTATTCAATATATTCGCTTTCGTTATTTATTTATTTTCGTAAATATTGGAGTAATAGATTTATATTTAAAATATTAAGAGTTTTTATTATGATCGCATCGAAAATGTAATACAAGTCGACCCCTCTATAACACTGTTGATAATTCCGTTTTATATGAATTCCGTGTTGTACGAGTCACTTAGATTTTACAAATACGTGAGCCGTTCACAGCCCGGCACACGTATTTGTAAAATCTAAGTGACTCGTACAACACGGAATTCATATAAAACGGAATTATCAACAGTGTTATAGAGGGGTCGACTTGTATTACATTTTCGATGCGATCATAATAAAAACTCTTAATATTTTAAATATAAATCTATTACTCCAATATTTACGAAAATAAATAAATAACGAAAGCGAATATATTGAATAAACTCATGTAAAATCTGTGTAAATCGAATACTTTTTCCGTTTTAAACAGGTTCCGTTTTCGACAGGTTTTACTTTAGATTGTATCTAATGTAATTTAAAATAAATTTACGCTTAAGAAGACAGAAATTAACGAATAATAGTATAGAATTTTAGTAAACTTTCTATTTAAAAATTGAATTTAAAGTAATTAAAAGGAACATTTTTGAATTTTCTTCGTTCCTCCAAGTGTCATATACGATTTCTCCTGTTATTGACCACGTTTACAGCTTGTCAATTATGTATACGTAGTGTAGGTAAGTTAAAATGTCAAATATCTACAAATATTCCGCAGAAAATCCCTTGATATTAAAACTTTTTTTGTTTTTTTTTTTAATTCTTATTTTATATTTTCTCAAATTGAATATTCATTAGGGGTCAATAAAAACGTNTTAAAATAACATTTTAAATTTTCTATCTTGTTTGAACTGTTAACTTTCTAATAAAATAAAATAAATTATATTTTTATTGGAAAAAGATAATGCTTAATTCATTTCGAAAAGACCTTGAAATGTCAAGAAACACACACCCAAAAACAAAAAATTCAGGTGTTTTTCTCTGTATGGGTATGGATGTGTGTGGTGGGCACGATTTTGTTCACCCGATTTGAAGCTTAATAACTCCTGTGTTTTTTGTCGAAAATTTCTGAAATTTTGCAAGGAGGTTTGTGTATTAGAGGAATTGATACTGTTAAATTTTAGTGGTTAAAGATTGAGAAGGTGTAGAGATATCAAATCTCGAGTAGGGTCGAATCTAATGAAGATTTTACTCGTTTACAATTTTTTAAATAAAACTCATCTCTACCTTCAAAATTAAGCTTTCTGTCATTTTATAATAATTAATAATAAAATTCAATCAGTTGTTTTACTTTAAAATATTTCTCCTGAAGATACTGTCTCAATAAGAAGACTACGAATTCCGTAGATATTTTATCGTAATTTATAGAATCGTATATATGAATACTTTTCGTGTCGTAATTAGTCAAATCCAATGATCTTTGCTACGTGATTGCTAGAATTTGTATGTGATCGATAGCGGATATGACAGGAAATATAATTGCAGGATTTTGAATATAGTTTGGTGGTGGTAATAAGTACAATTTTGTAGACTATGAGCAAAATAAGTCATGTACAAATACTCTAATTTTCCATTAGGAGATGTCCATAATTTACTTCCGCATATTTCTTGAAATTTCTCACTCCTCTTGTTCCCTTTGTTCAAGTTTCTGTAACCCCCCTCTCACCTTGAAACCTTTATCACTTTATGAATGATAGATACGATAGGTAGAAACGAAACGCAGAAGAAACTTTGAAATAAATATAATAAAATACACAAACTGTACACAATTTAATGAAGTAAACGGTCTGCTCCTGGTACCACCTGAAGTCTTGTATCTGTTGCAGTAGTGTTGAAGTACGGTCTATACAGTGATGAATGCATAATCAATTCGTTCGGAAGTATAGGGATGTTTATACCAAATCTTTTGTCTAGAATGTGTTTCAGTCGGTGTCTCGAGTCTCACCTTAATCAAGATGGTAAACGGCCCGTCCCAATTCGGGCTAAACTTCTGACTATTGGGATGATTATCCGGAACCCGGACCAAGACTGTATCGTTGGTGTGGAACGAGGATGAGTCGTGTTTAGTATGAAATCTCGCTTCCTGTAATCTTGATTGTCTCTAGAGCGCTATACTGCTTGTAGTCGCGCTTCAGCCAGTGTTATGTCTCTTGGTAAATTTTTTGACAAAGTGAAGATATTACGGAGCGAAGCCAGTCACTGTGTGTAGCAGCCTGTTATAGATGACAATGGCTGAATCTAGCACAGAAGACAAACGCATTTTCGAGTTAACTATTAGATGTGAGGCGATGTTTCGTTTTATTGTTCCATTTACTTTTTCACAAAGACCGTTTGCTGGTGGATGGTAGCAGAAGATGTAGACGTTGATGCCCCTTTTCCTTTGCAAATGTGTGTGGAATTTTCTGGAACGAAATTTGGTACGACTATCTGAAATGAGTCGTTTCGATGGTCCTGCCTGTATGATGGCCCAGGATCCTTCAGAATGCACCAATTGCTGCTTTAGCTGTGTTGCGTTTTGTAGCTCTTGCCCACAGGTATCGGCTGTAATGGTCAACAATGACCTGGATGAATTTTTCAGAAGTATGTTTAACTGCGTTTCCAACACAAATTGTGTTTATTTCCCAATTGCCATTTGTCTTCTCTGGTGTTTCAATTGGCTGCGGTTGTCCAAGAGTTAGTCGGTTTCGCACGCTTTCCCATGTATAACAATTTATTTCTTTTTATCGAATACAAAGTCGTATTTCTTCGCGGTATTTGCACTATCTCCAGTCGGTCTAGTCTATTCTAAAAAAAAAACATTTTATATTTTTAACTATTATAAAACGGCAAAAAACTTAATTTTCAGGATAGGAATGGGTTTTATAAAACATTGTAAATGCTAATAACGAGTAAAATCGTCACGCTATTTGACTACAAGTCGTTAAGATATAGGTAGAATGGGGAGGAATATTTTCAAGTATTTTAAAAGTAATTTAATATTAGAAAGGGATGATAACTATTATTATCCACACTACATAATAAATACGAAGAAACTAGTTTTGACGTTTATTCTATTTTAAATTATATCATTTTTCAGGCTTGATTGCTGGAAAATATTGAATGGGGAATTTTTCTATCAAATGATTACAAGATCTATAGATATAAAAAAGGGAATAAATTGATATTCAATCAATCACGTATTTGTAATAATGTAAGAAAGTTTACGCAAATCATTGAAATTTTATAGTTAAATTTATACAATTGCTTGGAAAATTAACTTAATGATAATTTGTATGTGGAATCAGTAAACATCGTAATTTTTAATTTAATTTCTGTTTATAAAATTTAAAATTCCGTAAATTTTATTCAATTGAAAACAATTTATTCTATTCAAAGTTACTGTATAATATTAAAATAAATGCCATTTTTCATTTTATTTTAACATAAGAATACATTGTTTTTAATATATGGAAAAGACCCGTCTCATTCATCAATCAATTTTTTTTTCTTTTTATTACATTGACAACATATGAACGTCGTAAGAAATGACAGACACACATACGTATTCAGATGGATTAAAGACATATTCCTGCCGAAACTAAATTTTATTAGTTCAAGCAACACTTTACGAATAATCTTTCTATAAAGAGCGAAAATTTCAATAATAATTTAATCGTTTAAATAGTTATAAATATGTTATTTAAAGCAGTGATCTGGAAAACACAGCTGAACATTGAGTAGAAACCGTATTGTAAGTCGGAAAAGATCACGTTAAATCAACAACAGGCTGAAATACATTTTTCTATCTTTAATGACACCGCAATATCCAAAAGTATGCAGTTTTTCAGGTCTCTATTACAATCTGAAATTGAAGTTCCTGCTTTGTTGAACAGTTATTATTTATGTATCTGTACCTGTATGTACTAGGAACTATTTTAGATTTGAAATTCCTTTGTACAAATTTAATATTGCTCAGAATATATGTATTTATAAATAGGCATCACTCTATAATTGCTTTTGGATCATACGCGTTTTGGATCTAAAACATCTAGGCATATACAGTCTACTCCCTTATAACACTGTTGATAATTCTGTTTTATATGAAATCCATGTTGTACGAGTCACTTAGATTATACAAATACAGTAGACCCCCTATAATTACGGTCCCTATAATTACGATTCCTATAAAACTGCGAAAAAATTGCGACGGTATCTGTATANTATCGATCACTTCTCCTTCCTAAAAGACATCATGATTATATAAATAAAAATATTAATAAAAAATTAATTTTTAAACGAATAAACATACCTCATCTACCGAAACCTGTTCTAAGTATAGATCTGTGGAGTTGTAAGCTGTTAAACGAGTATAACTAACATCACGACTACGATATGCTATATAATTTGGTTGAAAGTCTAAAAATATAAATTGTCCTCTAAAATTTCCCTGTAAAACGAAAATATTTCTGTAATTAATAAAGCAAAAAAAGAAGAAAGAAAAGATTTGATACGTACTGCTGCTCCACTGATGATGTAAATAGGTGCACACGGATTTATATATGGATTATCTTCTTTTGGAGTACAGAGCTAAATAAAATAATTTATACATTTTTAAATCAGTCATTATTATTAAAATATAGAATATTTTTTTAAAAGTATGATTTACATTATTTTGATAAATTGGATAAGATCTCTCATAATCGTGTTCATGACCCGAGAAGACGATATCTACTCCATATTTAAAGAAAAGGTCTTCGTATTCGGATTGTAACTAAAAATTAACCAAAAAAAAAAATCATTTCAAAAGAAAGATTTTAAATTTTAATTAATTATTTTAAATTACTTTATAATCTGGGCAAGCTTCAGACACTGTAGTTGAACAATAGATCGGTCTGTGTCCAGCTACGATTATCCATGGCTGTTGTTTTCTATTTTCTCTTTTGTTAGCATTCTAATATAATATAAAATGACATTAAACATTTAAAAAGTTAGACCAAGTAAATTTTATACATCTAAAATGTATATAAATTATTGTCCGCGCAGCGAACCAAAACATTTATACATTTATTAATTTAAAAATTATAAACCTTAAAGAAATAAGTAATTAAGAATATACACAAAATGATTTAGAGGTCATCAAAAACCGAGCCTCCAGATGTATATAAATGAACAAATGTTTAATAAATTGTTTTTATGGGATTCAATGAAAACAATTAAGTTTAAAATTACACAATATTCTATAAATTTTACGGAATATAAAATATACACACACTAAACGAATGTTATTGGAAAATTTTCACTATTATTCGATGTTTTTTTAAAAAATATAATAAGATTTACAACATTTTCATTTAAGAAATTGTCCGATTGTTTTCCAAAGAAAGGCCTAATTCTTAAGTTTGGAATAAACGTCAGCAACTATTCAGAGCAACAATAATCAAATTAATTGTCATAAAACATTGTTGACAACGAGAAAGGAAAGGAGAAAGAAACTAACGAGTACGTTTTTATTTCTATATTTATTTAAAACATTTCTTTAAAGTTAAAACATTAAAAATATTTTAAAACAGAGAAATATAAAATACGTTTAAACCGTGTTTCAGAATAAAATTTTAGTATTTACTACAACATTTAAATATTGGTATTTTTAATTGTATATTATCACTCTATCGTCTAGTTCGTTGCCATCATTCTTATTAGATACAGAAATAATGATGGCCACAGATTGATCGGTAATTAATATTAATTGTTCGTGCATATTGTTTAATTCTAAATATAGATCTGTGTAAATGATACTCGAAAAGAAAGTCTCATTAACTGTTCTACGGATGAGTCGTGTTTAGTATGAAATCTCGCTTCCTGTAATCTTGATTGTCTCTAGAGCGCTATACTGCTTGTAGTCGCGCTTCAGCCAGTGTTATGTCTCTTGGTAAATTTTTTGACAAAGTGAAGATATTACGGAGCGAAGCCAGTCACTGTGTGTAGCAGCCTGTTATAGATGACAATGGCTGAATCTAGCACAGAAGACAAACGCATTTTCGAGTTAACTATTAGATGTGAGGCGATGTTTCGTTTTATTGTTCCATTTACTTTTTCACAAAGACCGTTTGCTGGTGGATGGTAGCAGAAGATGTAGACGTTGATGCCCCTTTTCCTTTGCAAATGTGTGTGGAATTTTCTGGAACGAAATTTGGTACGACTACTGAAATGAGTCGTTTCGATGGTCCTGCCTGTATGATGGCCCAGGATCCTTCAGAATGCACCAATTGCTGCTTTAGCTGTGTTGCGTTTTGTAGCTCTTGCCCACAGGTATCGGCTGTAATGGTCAACAATGACCTGGATGAATTTTTCAGAAGTATGTTTAACTGCGTTTCCAACACAAATTGTGTTTATTTCCCAATTGCCATTTGTCTTCTCTGGTGTTTCAATTGGCTGCGGTTGTCCAAGAGTTAGTCGGTTTCGCACGCTTTCCCATGTATAACAATTTATTTCTTTTTATCAAATACAAAGTCGTATTTCTTCGCGGTATTTGCACTATCTCCAGTCGGTCTAGTCTATTCTAAAAAAAAANGAGAAATTAGTTGTGATGCTGAAATTGCACTTTTCAAAATGGCGTCAGATCAAGAAAACGTGCAAACTGTATGATAGTATTCTGAGACAAATTCCTCTGTGTAAGTGCTGCAAAACTTTCATCGCGTGTTTGTAAAGGATCCTCCATCACGAAACATCAATAAGACATGAAAGGAATGGCTCTTTTCCACGGAAAGTGTGTTGAAAGGTCACGGAGGTGGTAGATCCGATTGTCGGTCGGGAATGTGGAAGTGATCAAAGAGGCCTTCTAACGAAAGTTCATTTGTCGGGCATGCAACTCGCCATACACCTTACGACGCCGAAGATATTGCATATATTTTACTTTTATTGTAATTCTACCTAATTTCAGTTATAGTCTTCGAAAATGTTTCAATCTCAATCCGGACACTTTGTACAATGAAAAAGCCAATAGTGCTGCTACAGTAACAACATATTTCTTAAATGTCAGTAAGCTAGGTACTAAAATAACACGTGCTTATTACATACTTTATTTTCATTTTTCACTGGTCAAGTTTAGATTCCATGTTGTACAGTAAGATCCAATAGAGTTACGAAGTGTCTAAACGTCTAGTTTATGTTTTAAACATGACCAAATGTATTTAAAAATTTTGATTACAGACTATGTTCTATTTACAACTAATTCTTAAGAGAATAATTACTTTAAGGGTGCTCTTTAGCCATCTCCATTGATTACTATTTACCACATTTCTGTCTTCTCCTTCGTAGAAGACTTCAGTCTTCGGTTGAGATATTTAAATATTGGCAAGCGATGAAGGGTTTTCCGGGGATTTAAATGTGAAAAAATATAATTTAATTCAAATAATTTATTAATTGTATATATCTAAAATGTTGAAAATTTAATATTAATGTAATTTATGATGGCACATAACACTTGAAGAGAAAAGAAGAAAAAGAAAACAATTCGAGACACGACTGGATACTGTATGTAAATTTCCGGTAGAATAATGGATTCAATCGATTACAACATCCTTTACTTTTCCAGAGTTTACATGGAGTACTATACGTATGTCCCCTCGTCGATTTTGATGTATTTTGACACAATGGTAGTGTTTGCTATGATAATGCAATCCTCCAAACCGTTTCATTCTATGGGCCATAACGAACGAATTATGACTAATTTAATATGGAAGTATTTTTCATGTCGGATGCTGATCCCGCTGAGAAGAGAGGAGCAACAGGAGAGGGTCGATTGGGTGTTTATAACAAATATCCACGCCATGAGTATCACTCGTTAAATAATTAAATGTAACTTTCGTCGCTATCAACTTATAGAATTCATAATTAATTAAATAAAATAAAACATGACAAGATTCTCAGTTTTAAAATAATATTGTTATAATATTTATTATTCGGCGATAACATTTCCAAAATAACTTTGTGGATTCTTTGTAGAAGAATAAAGAAGTTTGTTCACTTTATACAAAGGTTCAGCAACGATTTGTTTAACTTTTCCGGCAACAACATTTAAAACTTTCCAATTAGGTGAACCAAATTGTTTCCTTCTAAACACTTAAATAGGTACGTATAAAGAAAGATCCCGCATTTTTTTGCATTTTTTCGACATTTTAAGGATAAAAAAATGAGTTAAAAAATTAAAAAATCATGGGCATAGGTCAATTTAACCGATTGCTATACTTCCCCCCTGTTATATTGTATTTAAAAGAGTCGGGAAAGCAAAAGCTGGGAAAATAATCATATGATAGAAAAGGTAAAAAAAAAAAAAATTGATATATTATTTCAATTAAAATTGCAAGTTTTCAACGGAACATGTATCCATCGTCTAAACTTACCAATTTAATCTTTGACGAAGTGAGAGAGTCAACGTGGGTGTAGATAGATTTTTCGAGACGAATTGATTTATGCTTCTGTCTCCACTCGCACAATCTCAAATCGTAAACTCCAGTTTAAAAATTTTTGATAGTTTAATATAATAAACGACAGTCAATCTTTTCCTGTATAATATATCTACAAGAGATTTACTTATACAGTACTAACAACTGTTATCGCTTAATCATCGTTTCACTCGCTCTTTCTCTTCTATCCTACGCTCTGATATATTTTTATTCATTTAAATAACATTCAATTATGATTTTCGTAGTGATTTTTTCACGTAATTCAACGCCGGAGACTCTCGTCCATCGTCTAAGAAAATAAAACGTTGGAAAATATTCAAAAAATCGATTATAAAAGATTAAGTAGGTGTTGATGCGGATAGATAAAGATGCGACTACTACGTATATCCATCCACAAATGCTTTCTAAATCTTGTCATTTCTGTATAATTGAATAATTTATAAAAATAAGAGCATTAATAACATAAACGTGGTCTATAATAAGCTTATTTTTAGTAATTACAACGTTAATCGAGCCATTCTAGAACGTACCTAACGTAATTTAAGACTAATTTATTCGCAAGAAGAGCTCAATTGACGAATAAAAACATGAAATTTTAATAAACTTCTATTTAAAATAACATTTTAAATTTTCTATCTTGTTTGAACTGTTAACTTTCTAATAAAATAAAATAAATTATATTTTTATTGGAAAAAGATAATGCTTAATTCATTTCGAAAAGACCTTGAAATGTCAAGAAACACACACCCAAAAACAAAAAATTCAGGTGTTTTTCTCTGTATGGGTATGGATGTGTGTGGTGGGCACGATTTTGTTCACCCGATTTGAAGCTTAATAACTCCTGTGTTTTTTGTCGAAAATTTCTGAAATTTTGCAAGGAGGTTTGTGTATTAGAGGAATTGATACTGTTAAATTTTAGTGGTTAAAGATTGAGAAGGTGTAGAGATATCAAATCTCGAGTAGGGTCGAATCTAATGAAGATTTTACTCGTTTACAATTTTTTAAATAAAACTCTTAGTGAAGTTCTTCCCCAAACTCTTTAAAATAAAGCTTATTGTCATTTTATAATAATTAATTATATAAAAAGGTTTTTTTTTAAATAAAATATCATAACAGATGGCGTCACACGCAAATTTTAAATGTTGCCGGAAAGTCAAGCAACTCGTTGATGGATTTTTCCTGTTATTGGCCATGTTTACATGTTTACCAGATAAGTATGGACGAATCCCCACATATAATAGTCTAGTGTAACAATTTTTAATTGTATATTTGATTTTTTCGCGGAACACTTGAAGTGGCTTCGCGAAGCATCCTTGTACGGATTGAGTACCACGGGTCTAGTGGAATGTATAGTTAAAACGGCAATGTCTTTGGATTTAATTTACGATTTTGATAAATAATTGATTATTTTAAACGTAAAATCTCACCTGTTACAGTTCAAGAATTTCCTTGGAAAGATAGTTGAATTTTTGTATTTGTTAATAATAAATTGTTAATGTTTTCAATGGGGTTAAAGTGTTTATCAGATTTTTACAATGGAGGAGACTTTATATCTTCGAAAAATGTTTGTATATTAACAAAAAAATTGCAGCTTACGTGTTGCTTTAGGAGTTGCCTCGGTAATTATAATAAAAGTAACAGTTTTATTTTAGATTAGACTTTTGAAATTAGATGATAAAAGTTATGTTAAACTAGCATATAACAAACTCTATAAATCGTGTTCAATAATTGGAAAATTACATAAATAATTAGATATTGGCGTTGAAAAATCTGTTAGATCGACACGGTTTCTCTTTTCTGTTGTTGTTTCAAGATCCTCATTTGATCGAAAGTTATCAAACATTGATTATAAGTACGTTATGAACAAAGCATAGCCTATAAGAAGATTGGTCTTTGTTGGAAAAGAACAAGCATTTTCAAGTTTATTACAGTATTAAAACAAGTTTTTGTACAAAGATTAGCCTATTTGTGGTCATAAATTATTATATAAAACGATTAATTCTCTAATTGAAATGTGGTCAAAATTATATTTTGACGTATAATAACAGACGAGTACAAATTCTCTCAGAATCTATTACTAAAATATATGAAATTTGAAGCAAGTAGGAAAAGGTATTTGATAAATTTATATTCTGTAAAAGTATAATTAATTTAATGTGTTTTGCAAAAATTGCTTATTATTGTACATAAGAAAGGAAGGACACTAACAGGATGAGAAAACATGTTTATTATTCTTAGTACAGCAAAAATCAAAGAAGGTGTTCGAAATTACCTCAGTACAGGCCTCACTCACATCTCTGGCACATTGAAGATCTAACGTTGTGGAAAATACCTGGCGTGTTCCGGACTTCCCCAGCAGCTACCACGATGCGTGCAACAAGTTCTTCAGCATTGGGACGGGAGTTTCGTACACCAGCCAAAGACGTCCCAGCATTTTTGCTGTACTAAGAATAATAAACCCTGTTCGTGTCCTTTCTTTCTTGTGTTTTGTGTCGTCACTACCGCTCCAAGAAAGCGCTTTCGACCATGCATTGCTATGTGATTTCCCATCGTCTAGGTATACTCTATCTCTCCTGAAAGTTTGTAACCGCTGTACTAATACACTCTGTATACAATTATTTGTAATTCGGCATTTCTTTATTGATTAATTAATCGATTTTACAAAATCGATTGCGATTTATCTTATCTTCGAATAAACTCCGGTCTCACATAAACCCCCAGGATGAAAAGAACAAGGAACATGCTGAAATGCTGCATTGTATAGGGCAATATAGTTTAGAGTAACAGGTAAGAAACTTAATTAACATTTCAAAGTATCTAGATTCGTAAAACAATTTCTATTCTAAAGTTCGACGAACGTGTTCACAATCTGCACGAGCATCTGTCGCGGCGGAAACAAAGGCAAAATCGTCACATATAGCCTTTTCACAACGTGTCACGTGGCAGAAAAACTAGCTTTTCATTAGCTAACAACTCTTATATTGCCTTTTTCCATCGCATTACTTGCAGATATTGCCTTCTACCACCCGATTCTCCGATTGGAATTGTCATAGGACGATACGAATCGACAGTATCGCTGCCACTGTCGATTTTTTGGTAAATACTGCCTTTATCCATCTAAACTTTGCTAGATACTGTATTAAGTTTGTATAAAAATACAAAAATTTTTATGAAATTCTTATAATAATCGGGATTCAGAATTCACTTCGCAAGTGTGATCGATTCATCAAAAATCGAAAGACTTATAATGTACTGTATTAGAAATTTGATCCGTTAACTACTTTTAAAATGAAGTTTTTATGAAAATTCATAAATTAATGTTTAAAGTCTCTCTGTGTATAAGTTACATTTACAAGCACAAATACATATATGTGTTTGTGTACACAACATATATGTATACACTCACATACAGTATATATGTATTAGTGTGTCTATAGATATATGTTATGTGTTATATAGAACTTGTATATAATACACAAAATTAATCAAAAATTAAATAAAATTGGTTATATTTTTTAAATGCATCACAAAACTTATTTACTGTATTCTATTTTAAAGATAATTTGATAAATAAGGCCCGTGATGATCTTTATGTATCAAGACTTTATCGATNTATATAGAACTTGTATATAATACACAAAATTAATCAAAAATTAAATAAAATTGGTTATATTTTTTAAATGCATCACAAAACTTATTTACTGTATTCTATTTTAAAGATAATTTGATAAATAAGGCCCGTGATGATCTTTATGTATCAAGACTTTATCGATCACTTCTCCTTCCTAAAAGACATCATGATTATATAAATAAAAATATTAATAAAAAATTAATTTTTAAACGAATAAACATACCTTATCTACCGAAACCTGTTCTAAGTATAGATCTGTGGAGTTGTAAGCTGTTAAACGAGTATAACTAACATCACGACTACGATATGCTATATAATTTGGTTGAAAGTCTAAAAATATAAATTGTCCTCTAAAATTTCCCTGTAAAACGAAAATATTTCTGTAATTAATAAAGCAAAAAAAGAAGAAAGAAAAGATTTGATACGTACTGCTGCTCCACTGATGATGTAAATAGGTGCACACGGATTTATATATGGATTATCTTCTTTTGGAGTACAGAGCTAAATAAAATAATTTATACATTTTTAAATCAGTCATTATTATTAAAATATAGAATATTTTTTTAAAAGTATGATTTACATTATTTTGATAAATTGGATAAGATCTCTCATAATCGTGTTCATGACCCGAGAAGACGATATCTACTCCATATTTAAAGAAAAGGTCTTCGTATTCGGATTGTAACTAAAAATTAACCAAAAAAAAATCATTTCAAAAGAAAGATTTTAAATTTTAATTAATTATTTTAAATTACTTTATAATCTGGGCAAGCTTCAGACACTGTAGTTGAACAATAGATCGGTCTGTGTCCAGCTACGATTATCCATGGCTGTTGTTTTCTATTTTCTCTTTTGTTAGCATTCTAATATAATATAAAATGACATTAAACATTTAAAAAGTTAGACCAAGTAAATTTTATACATCTAAAATGTATATAAATTATTGTCCGCGCAGCGAAAGAGTATACATGAACCAGTCTGAGTTGAAGGGTCTTTGCCACAAATGATAGATTGAAGGAAACATGTGGCTACCCTCTGAGAGTTGAGACAGGGATTTGATCTTAATTTTACATTTCTATAACGTTCTTATACTATTTTTTTTTTTTAACTATTAACGTCATATATACAGAGGCATTTTAATGCATAGGCAAAATAGGCGTGTGTCTGCGGTGGCAAATTTTGAGGGCCGACTAATTTCTACAGATGATTTTATAATTACATAATTATTTACACATTAAACGTTATGTTTGTATATTATAAACATAATTATATACAACAATAACAATTTAATAGTTGATTTCTATCTAAACGTAAAGTAAGACCAGTAGCGGCATATATTATTTTACTGTAAGAATACTGGTATACAGGGCGCCGGGATTGGAACTGATATATTTTAAATCGCTGCCAAAATTCAGTGCATAAAGATAAACGCATTTAATGTATTGCACGAAGAAGAGCAACTGTGTAAGTTTTCCCTAAAATTAATTGAGCCATGCGGAGAAATTAGTTGTGATGCTAAAATTGCAATTTTCAAAATGGCGTCAGATCAAGAAAACGTGCAAACTGTATGATAGTATTCTGAGACAAATTCCTCTGTGTAAGTGCTGCAAAACTTTCATCGCGTGTTTGTAAAGGATCCTCCATCACGAAACATCAATAAGACATGAAAGGAATGGCTCTTTTCCGCGTAAAGTGTGTTGAAAGGTCACGGAGGTGGTAGATCTGATTGTCGGTCTGGAATGTGGAAGTGATCAAAGAGGCTTTCTAACGAAAGTTCATTTGTCGGGCATGCAACTCGCCATACACCTTAAGACGCCGAAGATATTGCATATCTTTTATTGTAGTTCTATCTAATTTCAGTTATAGTCTTTGAAAATGTTTCAGTCTCAATCCGGACACTTTGTACAATGAAAAAGCCAATAGTGCTGCTACAGTAACAACATATTTCTTAAATGTCAGTAAGCTAGGTACTAAAATAACACGTGCTTATTACATACTTTATTTTCATTTTTCACTGGTCAAGTTTAGATTCCATGTTGTACAGTAAGATCCAATAGAGTTACGAAGTGTCTAAACGTCTAGTTTATGTTTTAAACATGACCAAATGTATTTAAAAATTTTGATTACAGACTATGTTCTATTTACAACTAATTCTTAAGAGAATAATTACTTTAAGGGTGCTCTTTAGCCATCTCCATTGATTACTATTTACCACATTTCTGTCTTCTCCTTCGTAGAAGACTTCAGTAGAAAAGACAATGAGTAAAACTTTTCCAATTTTATAACTGTAAAAGATATGAAGAAGATTTATATATTTCGATATATTAAACAGAAAAAATAAATCTCCGGTATAAAAAAAAACGGGCTGAAAATATGCTCACGAATAAAACATATTATCGAATTCTCCAGGCATGTCGAAACGCACTTTAAAGTTAGTAAAATTGCTGTTAAAAAATACATAATTAGTTACATTGTTAAGATATTTAAATTTTAAAGTAATAATTTATATCGTGCCCGTAAGATTCATGATTTCCCACTGATACGAGGTATGGATAATAAGCGGCGATCGGTTGTATCTCGTTGAGGAAATTGTCTCCTACTTTTCCACCTTTCTGCAATAAACAACCCGAAATTTATCTCCTAATAAAAATTTAAAATTAGATAATAAAATACTTACCGACTCTAAACAATAGGCAATATCACCTGAGAAAACAGTAAAAATATTAGAATTTATACATAAGTTGGACTATCAAAGCAATGAAGAGCAAACAAACCGTTATGAAAGAAAGCTTGCCACATTCTAGTTTTGGCTTCCTTAATTAACCAGGATGTAGTGGGACTACCTTCTCCCAAATCGCCAAAAATGATCATTTTGGTTTCCCAATCGTTACCTTTCGGTAAAGTAGTAAAATTGAATACTTCACTCCAATTTTCTTCGCTACCAACTTTATAATCTATAAAAATTATTCATGAAAATGGTTCAAGAAATTAGGCCAAGACTATAAAGTTATAGATTTTAAAGATAAAATTCTTTTTACAATATTTAGTATTTTGAGATAATCCTTTCAATGTAACTTTATGGACACGTTGAGATTTTGTACCGGCCCACATAAATCTAATAACGCATAAATCGACATAGTAATCATCATTCACAAGATTTTGATAGGTTCCTTCAGCTTTTTGAGTAAGCGAGTTATTTGATAAACCATAAAACACTACAGTTCGATTAACATTGCTTTCGGTGCTCCACATGATTGTCATTTCATCTGGATTTTCTGAAAAATATAAAAACTTTATAAGAAACTATATATATGAATAATTGCTTAATATAAAAAGACTGTACTATTATTTTATAAAAGATTTAATTTACTAAACGAATGAACCAATTTATCTTCATTTTACACACTGTTTCTCTTCCATCACTACGCTTCCATATAGTTTTTATGAATTTATTTACTTCAGATTATTTATTTATATGATAATAATTGTAATTCAGGGCCATGCCCCTCTGGAGAGTTTCAAATTAGTAGTGTACATCATACTTTTCCTGCTAGCAATAGATTCGTGCGGGTTATCTAACTTCTTTCAGGGGAAATATTCGCAATGAATATATTAATACTGTTTTAATAATACTGTATATAATTCGGAATGTAAAAGCAAGAAGTATCGCAAATTTGTCTTATTGGCACGCGAACGTTAATAAAATTAAATGAAATTAATGTTATATCTATCATACAATAAACTAAGTTCTGAGTTTTAAGTTATTATCAAAGGATTATCAAAGTAATTAATTCAGCTATGAAGATTAGGTAATTATAAACAAACTCAAGCAAGGATAGTTGAACAAGTGATTAGCAAATGGAATAGTTTATTCAACGAATGTAAACTTTATCAATTTCTCTTATTAGTTTAATTTAGAGTTGGCGAAGACCAAACTGGAATAAAGTAATTGATAAAGACCAGAAAATGTATGAAAAATATAGAGTTTTTTTTTTTATAATAAATCGATAGAACCTCTAAAAAATTACATGTCTAATAGCTAAAACTTCTATAAATTTTACTTTCTCGGCTATTATATATAATAGGAAGATTATGGCGATCGGTTAAAAAGTGACCCTTACCCAAGATTTTTATATTTTTTCTATTCAGGGGATCTTGAAAGGTCGAGAAATGCAAAACAATTCGGGGTTAATATCTGTACAAGTCGACCCTTTTATAACACTGTTGATAAGTCCGTTTTATATGAATTCCATGTTGTACGAATCACTTAGATTTTACAAATACGTGTACCGGGCTGTGAACAATTCACGTATCTGTAAAATCTAGGTGACTCGTACAACATGGAATTCATATAAAACGGAATTATCAACAATGTTATAGGGTTTTGTTCATCCGATTTTGTTCATCCTATTTGAACCTTAACCTCATCATTACCGCGTTTGGAATACAGATATTTTAAAATTTAGCACTTTTTTTCAAACTAAATAAAATTATGAAGGTAATCAATAATCTGGCTAAGAATCCAATCCTCCGCCTTTATGACAAAATGATGAATTTTAGATGTCAAAATAGAATTGATTAAATTGATAGTAAGTCGGTACGTATGCCTAAATAAAAGACTTTTTTCAATGAAGAAATTAATGACACCTGTAAGCGACATATGCTAAATATGTATTATTTAAAATATCAATATGTAAGTCCTCAAACATGAGGTTTATACGTTTATTAGTGATAAAGTATATTAAAAATCGCAAATAAAAATAACGAATTCAAATGGTTTTCTTCTTAAATATAAAAAATTGAATATTATTTACGCAAGAATTTAGTTAAATAATCTCATTAATTTCCAAAAAGTAAACCACATTGACTAGAATTTTATCAATTTTTAAACTACTACCATTTATTTTTTATTCGACCATTAATCTATTTCTGTTTCAATTTCCCTCAATTCTAGAACACTCTGTCTTTTCTCTTCGAGCAATTTGTCTCATTGTCTATGAATAAAATCAGTGATATTAGGCGTGCAAATTTATTAATCAAGCAGTTAATGCCGAACGAAAAATGTTCGTGTTCGTGACTGTTGATTCGTACAACTAATTAGTTTCTTCTTTGTAACATTCGACTCTATACATGATATCCTCTTCGTTGAACCCACCGATGGCAAATATCATATCGTCAATAACTTCTACGGCAAAGTTACTTCGTACTGTTATTATATCGGGTACTTCTGACCACGTATCGTTACGAGGATTGTACTTCTCTACAGTTTTTAACCTTTCGAAGCCATTAAATCCACCCAGAGTGCACACGTGATCTTTGAAAGCGATGCAAGATACACCATTCCTTCGTCTTCCTCATATTTGAAATTAGAATCCATTGGTTCGCCTGCGGGTTGTAGCGTTCGGCCGAATCAAGGTAATGTTGTCCTGTAAAACTACCGGTGATATAAATGAAGCCGTGTACAGTTGTGGCATCGGCATCGCTTAGTTCCATATGCATTAATGCAATCATCGTTCACTGATTTGTTCTATAATCGTATTTCTCGGTGGTTCTGTGACGATATTCCGCATTATATCTACCCATGGCGTATATCAAATCGTCTAGTACGGCTACACTCACATAGCATCGTCCGCAAACTCTTTCCACTCTTTGCTGATGGTATCTAAACATTGGCATCCGCTGCAATGATTCTCTCTATTAAATGCACCAATTATATAGATATTGATCGATTACTGCACATCTGTGATAAGCTCTTGGACCAACAGGATCAACGTCACTCATCTTTACCCATCTGTCTATTCTGGGATCGTATGTCTTGATGTAATCGGTTGGAAAATCAAAACTCCATCCTCCTATAACAAAAATTATTTTGTGAGGGATGCGAGGCAAACCTAAATCTGGGATTAGAATTTCTTCGGATTTCTGGCTAATCGATTAGAAATTTTAATGTTTCCATTATCAGAGGACAGCAATCTTGTTTTCTGTGCCGTGTGGATGTGTTTTCACAGTTTACACGAAAAATCAAAATCGAGAAGGCCTAGATAAATACTTTTCAACAAAATAGGCATATGTTTCTTTCTTGTGGATTTCTGTCCATCTAGCGCAACCGTGTCCCAAACTAATTTTTCTTCTTTAACGTTTAATTCGTTACAATTCAAGATGTTTACTAGTTATTCTCTTGTCATTTGCATCAATTCTTCGTTCTGATTCGAGATTTCTGTAAAATTTCTCATTATATAGTGATGGATCGATTGTTTTAAGAGTGTATTTCCGTAAGTTTTTCCTATGTTTTTAATAGAAACGGAATTTTTTGAGTCTAAATGATCTACCATATAGGAGCAACATTCATCCATTAATTTTGAAAACAAATACTCATCGGCGGCAATGAAAACTTTGCGACACATTTTCTACGTTCACTTCGATTTTTTCCGCAATAAATATAATCTATGATATACTAGAGGACTTCTTTGTCGATGTCTTTTAATGGAAATTCTCGTCTTTCATCTCCGTCGATTGTATTGATTAATAAGATTTCAAAATATTAGGAATACGCAGACATGAGGCATTTGTGCACTGGAAACTCTTCTCCTTTTATTTTAAGGATTGCATCACGCAAAAAAAAAAATGTCCTAATCTCTCATTTTCTTCATTATATTTAATGAATTCTGGCTGAAAGTTTTCACTACTTTTGTAGACATTTTTCTTATTGTTGTGATAATTGTAAATACATGACAATTGCTTTTGCATAATTTATATTTAAATATCAAATATTAATTTACTTACTTTAAATTTGAAGGTGCAATATTTAATATCATACTTTTTAATTCATTTTTTAACGTTGAAAAATATTGTCTTTTCGTCTATAAACTTTGGAAAAACGTGAAGTCCAAAGTGATTAAATTCTCAGTAGATAAGTTGGTCACTAAGAGGATCTTTTTAATCGTATCCACCGTCAGACCCGTAGTGGGGATAGCTGGGTGGTGAGGAAAAACCCGATAAATCCCGTACTGACCAACTAATTACATCAATAAATTTTGATTTAATTATTTTTGGGTTTTACTTTTTCGGCTGTTATATGTATATATGTTGCAGCCAAATTGTTAATTTAGCCACTTTACAAAGCGTCTAGCCGTTTCATTAAACGGCGCTGTTTAATAAAGCTAATTAACGTTCAGCCACTTTACAAAAAGAGTAAATTCCGGAAGATTGAATGACATGTTACGTTCTACAGCACGATTGGCCGTTTTATAATGCAGTGTTAGATAAACCGCCTGATTGTCATATTAACTTCCTATTCTTAACACTTGAGGAGCAAAGAGGCATTCGCTAATATGGCGTCGTGCATTACAGATTAATTTCATTACTAATTATTCTAAACTTTATTTCATTATAAACAGTTTAATGGAATTATGATCACATTATATACGCTTTAAAGCAACAGTGAAAGACATTGTGATGTGCAATGAACGTTGAAGTGTGCGTTTGAAAACCGAAATATTGCTTTATTAAAAATGACATTTGGCACCGATACCAAAATTCTCGACACCACTGTTACGGCTTTTGACGTCGGAACGACTACTTGACGTTCCCGATATCACTTTCCATAGCCAAATAATTATGAATGTAAAACGTAGACATTGAATAAAGGTTTCATACTTTATTGTGTTTCGTCTACATACAAGATTAAACGGTAATCATTTGAAAACGATCGATCTACGCACGCTTGAAGGCAGTTTCTGTACATGTAATGTTTACGGATATGTATTTGAAGATTTGATATTAATTCATTTATTGTTATCATTAATACGTTTTGTATCCGTTTCGGTATTATTCTGAATTGTCGTTAATAATTATTATTTCTACTAGTAATATTAATCCTTGCTATTTTTATTTTCCTTAACCGAAATTGCTGTAAAACAATTGATTCTTTTCCCATTGCACTGCCAGATTGCATACTGCAGATCCTGTTGTAAGGTATATTCTAGGAATTACATCCTTGCTGCTTACGCGAGTAAGGCTAACTAAACCTTAGAGTGACGTCTGTGTGACGTTTTAGTGACCAAATATTGTAATTTACTGGGAATATTTTCAGATGTTTTTCACATTTTAACAGGCCATGTTATTCTCAATCTGACAAAAATATCGTGCTACCGCAATCGCTTTATTGATCTATAGATCGAAGTTACACTTATTTTATATACAGATTTCTTTGTATGAGTCTCAATTTTTACTTTTCCGGCTGTTATAAGCTTATATATGAAAGCAGGCGATCGATAAAAAAAAAAAATACCCTTCTTTTAAATTTATTACATCTATAGACTCGGGACACTTTTAAATGTTGAAAAATGCAAAAAATTCGGGTTTTTTTTTGTATGTATGAATGTTATTGTGTGTGGGAGAGGCACGATTTTGTTCACCCTGTTTGAAGCTTAATAATTCCTGTGCTTTTTGTCGGAAATTTCTGAAATTTTGTAGGACGGTTTATGTATTAGAGAGATTGATGATATTAAATTTTGGTGACTTAAGGTAGAGGGGGTGGGGAGATAACGGACTTTAGGTGTATCTCCAATAGGATCGGACTTAATGACGATTTTATAAATTTCCACTGTCGTCCGTTGTCTGCTTGTCTTTCCTTACTCTCGAGAACGGTGTTACATAGACGAAAGCCGTGATCATGTATGGAAAGCTTAGTAACGGGAGGTCCCAGTTAACTATATAAGAACTTCCGATGCAAACCGAAAATCATGTTATTTTAATTCAAACATTTTTCTCTGACAGATTCTATTGCACATCATACTTTTCCTTTAACAATAGAGTCTATTGTTAAAGGAAAAGTATGATGTGCAGGGGCAAGCCATTACTAATTTGAGGTGGAGAGCATATATTTTAAATTAAATACATTAAAACTATGATTAAAAATTGCAGCCCACCATTGTGACCATGTCAAATAAATAATTTCTCGTTATCCAAGTACAGTATTTTAATTTTTGAGTAATCTGTCACTTAACAACAGTTGTTCTCTGTGAATAAAAACAAAACAAAAAGCATCTATTTATTATTATTTTAATTAATTTTTATCTTTAGTTTTCCATCTTTTTTATTAAAAATTACAAAGCTATTTTAATAATTTATCATTTAATGTATCCATCCACCATGCCATTTGGTAGAGAAGTTCATTCAGCTTGAGTGTTTAATTGGACGTCGTAATCCCTACCCCTATGTGCCTGCATACTTTGCGCGAAATGGAAGGCGATTTGTAAAATAAAGTTTTAACACCATACTGTATGTGGTGCTAAGGATGATTGGCCAAAAATCTATGTCATGTACACTTGGAATTTTGGATGCTGCGTGTTGATTGGCTTTTACCAATCGCCACGCAAAAATATACTCTTTTGCCAAAGTACTTGAAGGCGATTTTACTGAGTATGACCAGCGACAAAGGCGATTGAATCGCCTTAAAATCGCGCTAAGTGGAGAGCCAGCATAAAGCTGAGGACCAACGACCAGAATTGACTTCCATAACTGTCGTTCTTAACGGCCGTAATGGTCTTCTTGTTAAATATTCGTTCTCCTAAACTTCCATTGAGTTTTCTTCAAATTTGCGACCAGCATTTGTGCCAATGTGATCAGTGTTTTATGCTCTTTGAATTACACAATACTACGAGACTGCGATTCCTGGTAATTTTGTGGAATACAAGCCTGGAACAATGAGGGACAGGATACAGAGCTGTTCCTGGGTGAATGTAGTTATTCTAATGTCATCTGCATGTGCAACTGTCATAGTAAAATGAGGACTCCAAAACATATAGAATATATTGTATCGAGTGTTGAAAAAAATCATTGAACTATTTGATAATAACCGTGTGATGCAAAAAATCGAGGAGGAATCGAGTAAACTCGAGAGGCTTGTTGCAATTGAGCAAAAAGCTGTCCTAGAATAGCAGATTGAAATACTAGAGAAGTTTAATTTCTTAGATGTAAATAAAAACACCCTGAACTCCCAAGCCATGACGTATAGTGCGGTTCTACAGTCTGGAAAACGCGTTAAATTTCCAAATAAAATACATCCGTACACCTCAGGCAAGCATGTACTGTTGGTGACAGAACCGATACGAAAAATAGCGATCGTGTTAAGAAACGCTTACAGGAACAAATTAAGCCCAGTCAACTCAAGATTGGAGTAGACAAAATTAGAAGAATCGGGGGTGGCGGGGTAAGAGTCGAGCTAGAAAAAAAGGAGGATTTAAGCAGCTTGGAAAGCTTCATTAAAGACAGACTGCCAGATATCATCACGAAACTTCCTCAAAAGAGGAAGTCCCAGGAACCAGGAAACAGTAACAGATAGCATTTATTATCAAAATGACATAATGAATGAAAACATCACAAAGGAGCAATTTGTAATGGATTTCAAAATCAAATTTGCTACAGGAAAGAGGTAAAGCGACTACAATAATCTAGAGGTTGAGGTCACACCTCAATTGAGGAAAATCTTATTAATAATAGAAAGAATAAATATAGAATGGTCTCGATGTAAGGTAGCGGATTTTTTCCGTCTTACAATGTTTTCGATGTTGTATGTACGGACACTCCTCTCGCAACTGTGAGTAACAACACAGCACTTGCAGTCATTGCATGGGAGAACATGCTTTTAAGGACTGCCCCAAACGTGAGGAACAATCTAGATGCATCAATTGTACGCACCAGAAATCAGGGAAGACTAACCACAATGCTCGCCATCCTGCTTGTAAGATATACCTCAAAATGAAGGCCAATCTAATTGCAAGAACAGACTATGGGTCAAGTTACATCCGTTTTCTTAGGGAGAGGCATTGCTGCTTCCTCCCTATTCTGTACAGAGGTACACAATTATGACTTTATACTCGTGCAGAAACCGTACTGTCGGCAGGGCGTTCCTGCCGCCCTGCCTTTTTACTATACCGTTATCAAGGGGTTTCACAATTACCCTTGGGCCATTATTCTGGCCACTCACAGTAATATAGCTATTTTACAGCATTCTTGTTTTTCTAGCGAATTGGTTGTTTGTACTGAGATCAATGCTCAGGAACAAAAGTATATTATTGTTAACATATACTGCCCCTATAATGGCGACATAAACCCGATCCTTAGGAATGTGCAGAATATAATCGATAGATTTCCCAATGAACAAATCTTAATTGCTGGAGACGTTAATACTCACTCCCCAGCCTGGGGAGGAGAGAAGCTCGATCGTAGCGGAGAAGCCTTCGAAGAATTATTATTTCGAAACGACCTGCTAATTCTAAACAACAGCCGTTCCCCTCCAACTTACGTCAACAGTAGGTATCATAGCTGGATCGATATCACCTCTTCCTTTACCAATTGCCCAGCCAGATCACCCATTGGAGGGTCCATAATGACTCTAAGAGACCACAAATACATTTCTTTTAATATAGATAGGTCAACTCAAACCAATCAGAACAGTAGCAACAAAATTCGGTTTAATTACAGGGTAGCAAATTGGGACCTGCTTGCTGAGTTTCTCAATTGGGAATGGCCCTGTGAGGATGTGAACAATGAAAATGAAGCTCGCACCTTTGTGGTGACATCTGTCGAAACCATCAACGCAGCTTGCGATCTGTACGTACCAACCATCACTCACAAAAGACCTGTTCTGTGGTGGGACTCTAAACTTATACAAAGGACCTTATAAGAAAATTGCGCCTAGGCCTTCAAAGGAACATAATCCACTTACTGCAGGAAGCTTAACACTTGTCATGCACGTAGATTTGTTTTTCGATGGTAAAGACAGACAATTCTACATGATTATTTAAAATTAGCAATAGAATCGTGCCCATCATCTATCTGTTTTCAGTGGAAAAGATTTGAATCGAAATAACGCAACTTTCGATTTGTATTGAAAGTTTATATATAGTTAATCGGCGACTCCTCTCCCTAAGCTTTCTATAACTGATTTTGATGTTCATGTATGTAACTCCGTTCTCGAGAATAAGGAAGGACAGACAAACGGACGGACGGACGGACAACAATGAAAATTTATAGGTCTACAATGTTTTCAAATTGCAGCCTAACAAGTATAAAATCTATATTTTTCCTTAATTAGAATTCTTATTTAGTTATTTATTATATTTAAAGTTTCAATTAAATTACTCTATAATTCTATTTTAAGGATTTTTTCCCAAATATTTAAGGATTTTTCTGAATTAAAAAAAAGTTCAAATTACATTTTTATCGAATTGTTAAAATATGAATAAAAGGAAATTGCATGAATAATGATAACAGGAAGTACGATATTTTTATTGAATGACGAAAGTGACCGATTTTTAAAATAATAATTTGTAATATTTTAATAACAAAATGTCTTCAATTCTAATTATTTAGTTATCAGATAATTCATTATTTATAATCAATTAGATAAAATAAAATTAAAAATTTTTATCACCTAAGTAAATTAATGCTAAATTTGCGGAAATTTAAAACTTCCGATCAAATTTTTCATATTAAAATATATTTGTACCACTTTTAACCGCCTTTATTTAATGTTAAAAGTAGTTATTTTAAACCTAAACCTATGAGAAAACAAATGATTGTGGACTCGCAACTGACCACGTAGAGTTTTGCGGCTTTTCTTCACCTAAATAGGGGTCAATATCCCATAGAAAATCCTTCCATAAGGTGACAGAACGTCTATATGATGCCTTGCCTTATTCAACCGATCCAATTCAAATCTATTTTTAAATTGTACAGAACACACACACACAAAAAGAAAACCTAAAACCTCGCGCAATTGTCAATTTTTAAACCTTTATTGATCTTAAAATCGATTGGATAATTTTTAAAAAAAATCCTCTTATAAATGAACTTTGAACTCGAAAACGATTGTTACATTATCAGCTATCGATAATGTAACAATTAAATTATATTAAAGATGACTTAAAATATCGTCTTTGTAAATGATATTATTCATTTAAATTTGTATAATTAATGAAATAATTAATATAAGAGCATTACCTGTTGGTGATAAGTGAATCTGTTGGGGGTGAGTATTGACACCCACGAAAGTTATTAACAATAAACTGAAGACTGTAAACAGTTTCATGACGGAGAATGAAAATAATAGTAACATTGATTCACACTCAATCATTTTATAGCATCAAATCTAACGCATGCTCATTCAAAACATATATTTCATGTGATCAAACATTCAATAAACCATCTTCCTTAAGTATTTGATAAACAAACAAATAGATTTGACTTTATCTCTTAATGAGTCTACCTGATGTCTATGAAAGCCATTATTCACGTCTAATAAACGTAACGATAATTAATTGTAATTAAATAAATTAAACTTATTTTACGTAATGACAATATAAACAGTATTATATAATCATTCTATACGTATATAAAAATAATTTATACGCTCGAAATTATCGTTTAGAATTCATATCAGCGTGAACCGAACAGCTGTTTAATAAATAAATTACTTAACTGATAATTTAAAACGAATAAATATTATTATAAAATATCTTTAAAGATTTAACACGTTAATTATTAATAATAAAGAATTTTACGAATTACAAGTCGACCCCCCCCTATAACACTGTTGATTATTCCGTTTTATATGAATTCCATGTTGTACGAGTCACTTAGATTTTACAAATACGTGAACCGTTCACAGCCCGGCACACGTATTTGTAAAATTTAAGTGACTCGTACAACATGGAATTCATATAAAATGGAATAATCAACAGTGTTATAGGAGGGGTCGACTCTATTTTTATTAATTTTTTAAGTTTAAACTCGTTAACTATTGTTTTCTTCTTACTATTATTGGTTAAAAAAAAAGAATTAATCCTGTTTTTCTTTTCAAATTGATGTTTTTTTATATATTTTTTAATCTTTTTATAATACATCTAAAATAAATGTCAGATTAATTTCTAAATATAAAGTATTATAAAAAGTAAACGTTTTCTGTTATTTTTTGAAAAGCGATTGTTTTTAACACTTTCTATTTAAATATAATTTAATAAAACTAAATGTAACAGTACTTAAATAAATAATATCAAGTATAAAATAATAATTAAATTAAAATCCGAATTTATAGTGACAACTCTTTTAAGTAGTGTGCACCTATTATTTTCTTCCTTGTCTAATAGATTTTATATATATATAAAAGAATTGATCGAAGTAAAGATGAGTATTAAGAGATCTCTTTAAGAGTTGGAAACAATCTTCTTTATCTGTACTTTGATCCTATAAAGTATTTTCTACTGTTTGTTTCTAACTTTTCACATACAGTCGACCACCTATAACACTGTTGATAATTCCGTTTTATACGAATTCCATGTTGTACGAGTCACTTAGATTTTACAAATACGTGTGCCAGGCTGTGAACGGCTCTCGTATTTGCAACATCTAAGTGACTCGTACAACATAGAATTCATATAAAACGGAATTATCAACAGTGTTATAGGGGGGTCGACTGGTATTTCTTTTCATTTTTCGACTCCTTTTAACAGACATAAAATAAGAACAAATTGCAAATAAGAAATAGAAACTTAATACGAATTACAATACCTTTTTTTTTCAATTAAACATAGATCGAAATTCAAACCTGTGTTTTATTTCACTGAAATTTAAGCATATATAAATAATTATTACATTAGTAAATATTAATATAATAATAATTAGTCAATCGACTCCCTATAATTTATCGACTGATAGCGACCAGTTTGGAAACATCTGCTGTAAACCACAGGGACAATACAGAAGTTACGATAAAAGGAACAAATTATCCAATAAGATATCAATAAATAAACAGTATTTAATCCAATAAATATAACTTTTATTTATTAACCACATCATGCCAGAAGTGTGTGGAAGCAACGAAGTGTAACAAGTAAGAGGAAGAGTGTAATATTGAAAATTCGGATGAAAAAAAAACTTATCGCAAAGCACTAAAGCGTGGCATATTAAACATGGCCGCCAGATGCCACGAGTGGCATCTGGCGGCCATGTTTAATATACGGAAATCGAGAGTGTGCGAACAGCAAATATAATTTTTATTTTATTATACAGTATTTACGTATTTTATTTATTGTTTTCGTGTTTTAATTTATTATTAGTGTATTGCGTTAATTTTGCCTTAAACTACGTGTGTTTGCTGTTTTAACTTTAACGAAATGAGTATTTTTTAGAGTCCGAGAATGGATTAATTCGCTTTCCATTATTTCTAATGGAAAAAAATGGATCCGGACTTCGAACGGCCTCTCGGAATAAATTAAATTCGAAATAGGGGAGATCCTTGTACCTTGGGACACCTTGTACTTCGGGACAAGCTCGTCATTTGAAAAATAATACATTGAGAAGTAGTAAGTAGCGATATCTAATAGCTATTTCATTGCAACATTCAGAATGCATGACGTAAAGTCGGCCATTTTGACTCGTTTCACCGCTGTGACACGTCGTGTGATTTTTTGATAGGTGTTCGTTTTTTTTTTGCAATCCATTTGGATCTTGGTTTTAATCGAAATCTTTTGAAATGAGTAATTTAATAAGGTACAGTTAGTTGATAACTACATTCGTAACCAATTATTTTAATAAATAACATTGGATTTCTGTAATTAAAAAATTATAACCATACTTTGTTATAAACAAGAGAAAATTGTACCTTGGAACAGTGAATTTTTTGTACCTTGGGACTGTTCCAAGGTACAAGGCATTGCTTTTCTCAACTATTTATTTAATATATTATTACCTGTCGATTCTGAGTGCACGAAGATTACACCTTTTTTGAAAATTACTGTCAGAAATGCGATATTAATTCTAAAAAAGTTAGTAAGTAGTAATATTTGTGACCTATATTTGTAACGACTATTGTTTTTCTTAATACAAAAATGAGATTATCTTTGGTTTTCAATCATTTAAATACCTTCTACAGAACATTTAAGTTTTATACTTACCTACATTTCCAGCATATGGAATATTTTTGTTAACTGATAGAGTTAATATTGTTATAAAGGACAAGACTTGGATAAACTATTATTTTTTTTCATCTGGCGGAAATCAAGATTTACAAAAACATTAGAATTGGTTCGTGTCCCAAAGTACAAACAAATATCTGAAGGTAATTATTTGACATTTTCTCATAAATAAAATAGTATAGGGTCACGCGTTGCACCATATATAGTGATGTTATCAATTACTAATAGAAATATTCAATAGTCATAGCTAAAGATCAATTTGAAATTAAATTATGAAGGTTTAAAGAAAAGTGTCCCAAAGTAGAAGGATCTCCCCTACGAGAAATCACTTTATATTTTTCATATATACGAAGTAGAATTTTAATAGAAGTAACAAATAGAATTAGTTATAGTTAAAGAAATAGAAAGTTAATAAGATAAATAATTACTTATTTTTTTCAGGCTATTAAAAGAAATCCGAAGTCTTCTATAAATCTTTATATATTACAATATATTTCGTGCAAAAATCTTTATTATTCATGGCAATATTTACAAAGTTTTAAAATAAATTATATTAGAAATAAAAGTTTCCTTTTTATATTTACTCCATAACTTTATAAAATCATCATTAATAAATTATAAAATTCTGTATAAATCCAACAAAATTGAGCAAGACAGGAAGACGTTAATATTTCAGTTCCGGATATCCCGAGTATAGCATAACATAATATTAAAAATTGATTACAACACTCATAATTTCTAATAGAGACTAAAATATAATTAAAAGTTATGACAATATAAGACTAAGCAATTGAAAGTGACTTAGTAAGATTATGTTGGGTTTTAACATAAAAACCAGAAGTACTGTTTTTATAAAAGCAGAAAATACCTTTATTATTATACATTGTCCAATTCACTAATTGAAAATCTTTATTAATCAGAATAACACAACCCAATCACAATACTTTTAAAACTGTATCATAGGTTACATAAGTGTACTGTACACTTTCAAATAGAAAATTACACATACGGGATAATTTAAAAGTGGTAGATAAAATTTACTTTACGGATGATCAATTATTAAATTTACAGTAAAAAGTGTTAATACACCCCTGTCGATTCTCAAAAATATCAGAGTTATTGAAAAAAATCTTCATTTTAAACGAGCAATTATTTATTATGACATCGTTATAATGCCAGGTTGTAATTTTTTGTCACAATGCTCTCAATTTTAGTACTGTCCTGCCCCTTTACATCATACTTTTCCTGTTAACAATAGAGTCGTGCCTGTCATCTATCTAACTCTGTTCAGGGGAAAATTTTTGAATTGAAATAACGTAACTTCCCCTTTGTATCAGAAATTCGTATATAGTTAATCCGGGCCTTTTGCCTCTAATTTTCTCATACTTGGTCTCGTCTTTCATATATCTAACTTCATTCTCGATATTAAGGAAAGGCAGACAGACGCCAGTGGGAATTTATTTTTGAAGATTATAGCCCAATCATTTTATTTTTGGGTTGTATAAAGGAAAATATGTGCCCTGTTACATTCAAAATCATCATAATGCTTCGTTAATTAATCGAATTCACGAAGCTGCTTCATAAATACGTAAAAGACTGGAACGACGTCATAATATATTGTACAGTACAAGTAGACCCCCCTATAACACTGTTGATTTTTCCGTTTTATATGAATTTCATGTTGTACGAGTCACTTAGATTTTACAAATACGTGAGCCGTTCACAGCCCGGCACACGTATCTGTCTAAGTGACTCGTACAACATGGAATTCATATAAAACGGAAAAATCAACAGTGTTATAGGGGGGTCGACTGGTACGTTCTTCTATCATCCATAGATTCGAATGTAGCCAGAACTATCCTGAATATGTGTACAAAGTTTGACAGAAATTGGTTCAGCCGTTCTCATATGAAACTCGAACAAAACGGACAGACAAAAAGGCAGACAGACGTGAATTCAATTTTATATAATCATTTAAGCATTATATCATTTAACGTAATTAAATATTTTAATTTTTTCGAAATAAATTACACATCATACATAATATTTTCCATCTTATTTCATGTGAAAATGAAGCCAAATGGACGGAAATTGATTATATTTAACCCATAAACTAAACAAATAGTTTTATGTTACGTTTAATGAAATTTACTCAGTTTTTAAATTCCTATATCATATACATTGAA